CGCGCCACCAAGGCGAACAGTAAGCAGGCGGCGAGACTGATCCGCAACCTTCTTCTCCACGAGCCAGACCTGGCGACTCATCAGGCGCATCCTGACGCTGCATTCCTGGTGCTCCGATCTGCTGCGCGCGCCTACTGGCGGCAAGATGTACGCACGCTGGGCTTGCTCATCGCCACTGCCCCGATTGCTGCCCAGTGCTTCCAGGTCGGCGATGAAGGGGCCCCGGGGCTGTTCAACCTGGACCCCGACGCCTAGGCCTCCCGCATGCGCCAGGCGGCCACATCTGTTCTTGTTCGTCAACGTGCTGACGCTCAGCTTCACGCCGCCGCCGCTCATCAGAGCGGCGCCCACGATGCCGGCGCATATTGGAAGTGCCGCGCGTGGAGTATACGGCAAAAAGCTCAGCTATGGCGCCCCTTCCACAGCACGCAGATATTGGTAGGCATATTGCAGCTGGCGCACCCTGGCCACAGCGGCCACCTCGTCTACAAACAGTCCTGCGACTATCGCGGACCCGCTGGGGATGGCGTCGGCTCTCACTGGGAGCACATCTTCGCGGCCAAAGAAGTCCCGAGTGCTGAAGTACACGACTATCTACAGCTTCATGTCTCCCCGGTTGCCAGATCTTCAACTACCAGTGCCAGAGCTCCAGGACATGGAAGCAGCAGCACGCCGCGCGCGACCCACAGCACCCGGCCCGGACGGGATCCCGTATTCTGGATGGTCTCGGGCACGTGGCGCATTACACATTTTGTATAGCATGATGTTGGCTGTGATGCATGGATGCGCCTCCTCTCATGGCCTCTACCATGCATGGCTCCAGTTTGCCTCGAAGGCTGACGGGGTACCCTCGGCGGCGGAATGCACCCGCGAACCGGGTAAGACACTACCGCTGGCTTTCAAGAACAGCGACGCCAAGTTGCTGGCTTCGACCGCGAACATCTACCTGGCCAAGACTGCCGAACGGTATGTTCCTCACGTCCAACGAGGATTTGTACGCGGCCGGAACTTCCTCACCAACGTGTGCAAATTGGACGGACAGGCTCGCATTGCATCGCTAGGCGATGCGGATTCGTTGCGACGCCGACGGCCCTGCTTTGCCTCCTTCGACGTGGCGGCGGCCTTCCCGTCTCTAGCGTGGCCGTGGCTGTTCGCAGCCATCGAACAGTTCGGCGTCCCTTCGACATACATCAATTCATCAACTTGATCACTGCCCTGTACAACGAGCTGCACTAATGGACCCGTTTGGGCGCCAAATCCTGCTACTTCTGTCAGGTGCTGACGGGGGTCGCTCAAGGCTGCCCTCTTTCGGGCACGCTTTGGGCCCCCACTACCGCCCCATGTGTCGAGGCCATGTCAGGAGCTCTCAGCCTGTTCTCGCGATCCCTGCTGGCTCGCCCGTGACGCGAGAAACTGCTGGTTGGACTGGGCTGCGAAGCAGACCTCGGACTCTGCGCTGACGATATTGGGGTGGTGCTCGCCGCGCACCTTGACGCTATGAGCCGGTTGGCTTGCCTCTCCCTGCAGCCGAAGAAGTGCGTGTTGGTCCCGGTATTGCTGTCGACGGCTCAGCTTGCTCATGCCCGAGACTCGGTCCGAGCAGCTCTGATTGAGCTTGTCCCGGAATGGAAGGATTTAACCTTAAAGTCCGCGGCGAGGTACCTCGGTTTTGTCGTTGGGCCAGGCGCGACCCTCGAGGACTCCTGGCTCGGGGCTTCGAACAAGTATCGATCCTGGGTGGCCATCCTGAGGATAGCTCCCGCGACCACCCTCGAGGTGATCAAGCTCTACAACTCCTTTTGCAATCACGGTATTGTCGTACTTGTCTCAACTCCTCCCGCTTCCAGAAATCTCGCTCAAGCCGGATATATACGTCTTGCACGGTATTTTGAAGACGCCTCCGAAGTCATTCAGCCTGTCCGATCTCTTCAGCATGCGCACTTGGTCCTCGTCTCCGACTTTGTCTCCGCTTTTACCTTCGGCCTGGGCCGCAGCCTGGCGCACGGGAAACACCACGCTCAAGGGCTGGAGGGAGTTCGCGGAAGCATGGAAAGAGTGCGTCTTCGACGATCTCGCGCCGGCGTTGGCCATTACAGAGAATTGGACTTCTGCCTGTTGGGCTATGCCCCAATCCATGGTGCAATAGCTCATCGCCGTCGGCTCCGGGACGGTGTCGGCACCCAGCGAACGGCTCCGGCGCAAGAAGCAAGGAGCCTTCTTGTTGGCCAACCGCGCGGCCAAGACCGACCTGCGGGAAGCTGCCCTCCGTGATGGGCGCCCCCACCTTCAACGCGTCCACCGGGAAGCGGCCTCGGCCGCCCTCTACCCCGAGATGTTTCACGTCACGATTGCCAAGAGGATCAGGACTTGGTGGCCTCAACTCGCACTGCCGCCAGATCTGGCGGGCCCGTGGCGACGCCTTCGACACTAGCTCGCGGCTGCTTCCCCTGGTGTATTGTGGGCGAACTACCGCACGCTGGCAGGAGCCTGGCTTACTTCCTTCCGGATACACGTCGGCATCCGCCATTTCCCTTGCCGGTTCGGTTGCGAGGGCTGCAACGACGAGATCGTTCACTACCTGACCCGTGGCGGGGCCTGGTGGGCGGTCTGCCAGGCGACGTGGTCATTCGCGCACTCGTCTGTGCTACACAGATTGGGCGTCGGCGATGAACCAGCATGGCGCGCCTTTACCATATTCGCAACATTCTTCTCCACCGTCCAGGTGCACACGTCCAACCGCCGGACGCGGCAGTCGCAGCCGCGAGGGTCGCGGCACACCAGGTCAAGGTTCCACCGTCGACAAGTCCAAGAAGTACTACTGAGAGGCCCCGCTGGCCGCGAGGCCAGTGAGCCATCTGACCCGCCACCTGTGGGCGCTCCTCCTCCTCCTCCTCCTCCTCCTCCTCCTCCTTCCTCCCCTGAGATTCGACGTGGCGATAACTTGCAGCATCGTAGAAAATCTCCACCGCAGTTCGAATTAGACTCCGTCTCTTCGCGGCATTTTTCGAGCCGTCTCGATCTGTGATGGCCACGAAGTCCGAAGCTGGGCGAATCGTTTTCCTTCATGTCCCCTTTCTTTTCTCTCCCTCGCCCGTCTCGAGACAGCCCTCAGGTGCAGTTGTCCACCTGTGCGCCGATCGGCTGTTCTTTGAGCCCCCTAGGTGAGGAGCGGCTGTGTGCAAAAGTCCAGTTATGTTGCCGTCGTGCATTTTTGCTTGAGCTCGCAAGTGTTTTTGGGGAAAAGCAAAAAACAAAACAAGAACACACACAGAGTGTTTTTGTGTTTTTTGTGTGTGTGTGTGTTTTGTGTGTGTGTGTGTGTGTGTGTGTTTTGTGTGTGTGTGTGTGTGTGTGTGTGTGTGTTTTGTGTTTTATGTGTTGTGTTGATTGTTTTGTGTGTGTGTGTTTTGTGTTTTTGTTTTTGTCGAACGAAAAACCTGCCTCGCCCGCGCGGCCTGCCGAGAGCCAGGCGTGGAGCAGCTCCGCCCGCTGTGCTGGCGCCTCCTGCGCCAGTTCCGCGAGTGCGAGGATCGGCGGCCGCGCAAAAAGTTCGAAGATCCTCAGGACTGGAGCCGTCTGGAGTCTGAGGTGGCCCTGCACTGGTTTCAACCAGCAGGAATGGCGGGCAGGTTCGAGTTTCTCGGTTCGGCGAGGTTTTTGGTCTTTGTCGGCTTCCGGGGGCTGTTTTCAAGTCCCAGGACTGCCCAGAGCGGATCGGGGATGAAAATTTACACCAGATGGAGTCCGGGAGGGGTCCAGGGGCAGATTTTGACCAGATTTGGCCTCATTCCCCCCGCCCTGACCGAGTTTCTGGGGCCCCAAGCAGTTCAGACCTTTTGGCGCCTCCAACCTCAGGACGTGCGTTACAGCCAAGACGCTGTCATAAGGACCGCTTTGGGTTCGGAAGGGGCTCGCTGTTCTTCAAATCGATCTGTGACTGTTGCTCTGGAGCTCCTCGTGCACCCGAGCGCTGCTGGCGCCAAGGAGGGGCTTCGTTCCTTATATTTATCGCTCCTTCCCTTTCTAGAAGCCCGGCTGTAGCCCAAGCGTGTGTTCATCTTATCCCGTTCGGCTCTGCCGATCGCGTGCAGCGTGTGTCGGCCATATTCTCGCCGCCTGCGTCGTATTGAAGGGACTCGGTGGAACGTTGGCGCTATAACAGACGCCCTGAGGATCATCGAAGGGTGTGATTACGCCGGGGTGTGGTTTGCGATCTCCGTCGTTGGGGATCCGGCGGCGCGCCCAGTGGGGAAGTGAGAGGGAGCGGGCCTCCTCAGAAGGCTCGGGAGGCCTCCAGCCTTTGGAGAAGTTGTCGAAGCCTTCCCCGAAGACGCAATTTTTCTCAGAAGTCGCGAGGGCTTCTGCAAGGCTTCGCCGGCTCTTGAGAAGGCCTGCGCCCTCTCGCTTCCCCCCCGCGTTCGCCGCCGAACCGCGTTGCGCCGAATACGGAAAAGCTGCAAAAGCATAAACATTGGAGCTCCGCGCGGATTTCTTGGATCGGCGCTGGACCCCCTCCCTGGCGCGCGGAGCGCGCCAGGTGCGACGCCGGAAGCGCCGACAAGGGGGTCCAACGCCGATCCAAGAAGTCCGCGCAGAGCTCCAACAGTCTGTGCTTAGGCCGATCTTTCTTTCTCTGTCCTCGGGGCGCGGCGGAGAAACAACTCGGTCGAGGTCATCGCCCGCCCCTTGGGGTGCGGGACGATGACAGCGAGTGTTTCTACGAGCCGTGGATTGCACATGGCGCCTTTCTGGAATTACCCCTGACCGCATTCGGCGCAGGAGTAAAAGCATTCGATGAGGTTTCCCCAGGAGGCCGCTGCCGTTCTTGCAACGTACAGTCAACCCGCAGAATAAGGATGGGCAACCTTCCCAAGGGTATCTTTGCATCCTTGTCTCCTCGGCCAATCCTTGGCCACTTTCGCTGGCCGCGCCCCGCTCGAAAAGCTTCGAAATGGCCTCCTAAGACCATTGCTGCATCCTTCCGTAGCCATTTTAGCTCAAGTACATGTTGGCCTAAGTTATCACCGCCTCAAACAATTCGACGGTCCCTTTGGGGTATTGCTAGTTTGGCGCCATGCGCCGTTCGATACTTTTTAGTCAGCGGCCGCAGGCGAGAGCGCCAGCGGCGAGTCCAGTCAAAGCGGGGCACGCAGCGACAAATTCACCTAAAGCAACGGGGCGCAGCCTCACCTATAGCGGCTAGGCGCCGTTCGATACGCAGACAGACGGTGATTACATCATTGCTCCTTCTCTTCTCCCATGTCGAGGGCCTGAAGACTGTTGTGAAGATGGGTTGCGGAGATACTATGGGCCCTTGGTCGGTTGTTGCGATTAACGGCCTGGAGGGCGTTGCGCACTTTGCATACGGCAACGTGCTGGCTGGTACCATTTGTCTTGGCTCTGCTGTCTGGGGAGGTGTCGCTGCGGGAGGAGCTGCGTCTGCGGGTAAGGACGCGGCAGTCAGCGCAGCTCAGGAGTTGGCTGAAGATGCCACCAAAAGCATTGGCACCGAGTACGGCAAGGAAATCGGAAAAGAACTCGCCAAGCAGGCGGCCGCATCTGCGAGCAAATATGCCCTTGCTGAGACGGCTAAGAATGCTGCTAAGGAGGTCACCCGACACATCGGCGATAATCTCGGCAAAGAGATCGCAAAGCAGGCGGCCGCGGGCACCTGTCCGATGCCAGCAAGCAGGCGTTCATCGCCGCAGCTCAACAAGCTGCGTCCCATGCGACTAAGGATATCGGCAGAGAGTTTGCGAAGATCATCGGTAGGGAGATGGCAGCTAAGCAAGTGTCAGAGCTTTGTGTGCAGGGGCTTCGGGAAGCAGCGCAGCAGGCAGCCAAGGGTGCGACCCAGACGATAGGCCAGGACTTGGGCAAGAACCTGGCTAGTGGAGCTATCCGACAAGCAGTGCTCGAAGGTTTTAAGGACGGAGCGAAAGACGCAATTCAATATGCAAAGTATCAGGCCGAGGGTATCAAATTCGCTGGCGAGGCTAGCAAGAGCGGTTCCTATGAGGCGTTGATGGATTTCTTCAAAGAGAAAGCCAAAGAGCAAGCAGAAGAGTGCGCGAAGGCGTTAATGCGAAACATTATGAAGGATGCATCGAAGGACGCAGTTCAGAAAGCCACAAACAAAGCTGCGGCCGAAACGGGAATGCAAGCAGGGACGAGTGCCGGCTCTGTATCATTGATGGCCACCGAAGCAGACACTGCAACAGCTTCGGCGACACCGTGGATCCTTGGTGGCTCTTGGAAAGCTCTGGGCGCCAGTCCGTCTTTGGACTGTGAACCCTTGGCTCCAATTCACCATACTGTCTCGGGTACGTGTTTTTGTTGCGCTGCTCGCGGCTGGCTCCTTCGGCGTAGGCTTGGCCGTCACGGCTTGTTAGGGGTCTTTATTGTGAGATTGATGTTGTATCTTTGATTGGTTTCCTCTGACTGATCGTTTTAGCAATGGATCGTGTCCCACACATGTGACAAGACCTTTTGCTCTCAGGATCAGCTCGGTAGACCTCCACCTCCTCTTCTTTCCTCCTCCTACTTCTCCCTCATCCTCCTGCTGTCTTTCTCCCGGCCCTTGGTCTGACATTGGAAATCAGCCCAGAGGTGAGGGGGCGGGACGACGTAAGGATCCGGTTTCCAGTGAGGGGGGGAAGTACCTGTTTGATGGCGCGGGACGGCGCGGCATTAATTTAGGCCGTTCGGTCCTCTGCGTCCAGCACATCTTATGTGTAGTTGGGGTCCTATGCGCCAGCGCATCAGAACGTGCCACTGCCTCAGGCAATCCTTGACGTACGTGCCTCAGTTCGATGCTATGTTTTGATCGTGGCCACTTGACATGTGCATGGGGGAGGATATATTGAGCAACGACGGGCTCACCAGATCAACTGAGACGCCGAGCCCGCGCGATTAGGTAAAAAAGAGACCCGTGCTGCATCCTCGTCGTGGGTCCCTTTGATACGGGCTGGTTATAATGCAGAAAGCAGCAGCCGAAGTCTAAGGCTTCTTGGGCTGTGGCAGAGAATGATGGAAAGAGCCGCCCCTCTGCAAATATCAGAAGTCTGGCGAAGGCCTGCACATCCGTGGCTGCTAAATCGGAGCTCTGGGACATTTGCTCTTCTTCCGGGCAGCAGCCCGTTTACTCTTTAGCGCGCTGAGGCTTCTTCTGGGAGTGTGTTTTTGTTTCCCTCTGGGAAGTTCGTTTTAGCAGCCACGGATCTGCCAGCCCTCGCCCAGCTTCCAAGCAGAGCCGCACCCTGCGGAGCCGCCGCAAGACAGGAGCTGTGCCGCCGCGCGGCGGGGCAGCACGAGGACGCGGAGGCCGACGGGGGGTCACGACGGGCGGGGCCAGCGGCTCCCCGAGCCCCCGCCTTCGCCCACCGCGCGCCCCCCTCGTCGTCCTCGTCGTCGTCGCCGTCGCCGTCGCCGTCGTCGAAGTCGTCGCCGTCGCCGTCGCCGTCGCCGTCGCCGTCGCCGTCGTCGTCGTCGTCGCTGAGGCCGGCTTGAGGTCCTGGCTCGGCGGCGCGCCGGGGGGAGGGGAGCGAGGAGGAGCAGAGCAGGCCGTCGCTCGAGGAGACGCAGACATGGACGAAGGCAGCGTAGAGCAGCGACGGGCCCCGTGCTCCCGTGGGAACTCGACGCGCCCCGTCGCCAGATGCATCGGCACCGGCCTCGTTTCTCGGGGGGGGGCCTTCCCCGATCCACGGGTCCAGCGCCCGCGCGCCAGATGCGTGAGCGTCTTTTGTTTGATGTTTTGCCGATCGGCGCGGGCCCCTCGCACCCTCCTCCTCCTCCTCCTCCTCCTTCTCCTCCTCCTCCTCCTCGTCCTCCTCCTCCTCCTCCTCCTCCTCCTCCTCCTCCTCCTCCTCCTCCTCCCCCCACCCTGTGGAGTAGATCTCGGCTGCTTTTGGCGCCTGTTCCGAGCAGGCAGAGCCTCCCCCAGTCCGGAGCCAGACCCCCCCCCTTCATTGAGTTCCAAACAGTCGCATTGAGCAGAGGTCCGGAGCCAGACCCCCCCCCTCCCCCCCCTTTCCGCCCAATGTCGAAACGCCGAATGAAAAAACGCTCACACACACACGGATTCCCAATCCATGCCAGCGTGCGCCCGATTCTCGGAAGGCGGCGGGGCTTCTCAGAAGCCCTCGCGCCCTCTGAGCAGTTGAGTTCTGTGCCTTCAGGAGGAGGAGGAGGAGGAGGAGGAGGAGAAGGAGGAGGAGAAGGAGGAGGAGGAGGATGATGATGAGGAGGAGGAGGAGGAGAGGCTGAGAGAGAGCTCCCCCGAGGGCCAGAGGCCTCCCGAGCCTTCTGGGAAGGCCCGCCCCCTCTCAGGATGCTCGGGAGGCCTCGGATGCCCACGGAGGGCCTCGGTGCACAGTCCGTGGCTGTGGCGCTCCGGAGCCCCTCGCGCACCCGAGCGCTGCTGGCGCCAGGGAGGGGTCCAGGGTCCAGGGGTCCCAGCCAGCAGGAATGGCGGGCAGGTCCGAGTTTCTCGGTTCGGCGAGGTATCTGGTCTTTGTCGGCTTCCGGGGGCTGTTTTCAAGTCCCAGGATTGCCCAAAGCGGATCGGGGATGAAAATTTACACCAGATAGATTCCGGGAGGGGTCCAGGGGCAGATTTTGACCAGATTTGGCCTCATTCCCCCCGCCCTGACCGAGTTTCTGGGGCCCCGAGCAGTTCAGACCTTTCTGCTGGCGCCAAGGAGGGGCTTCGTTCCTTATATTTATCGCTCCTTCCCTTTCCAGAAGCCCGGCTGTAGCCCAAGCGTGTGTTCATCTTATCCCGTTCGGCTCTGCCGATCGCGTGCAGCGTGTGTCGGCCATATTCTCGCCGCCTGCGTCGTATTGAAGGGACTCGATGGAACGTTGGCGCTATAACAGACGCTCAGAGGATCATCGAAGGGTGTGATTACGCCGGGGCGTGGTTTGCGATCTCCGTCGTTGGGGATCCGGCGGCGCGCCCAGTGGGGAAGTGAGAGGGAGCGGGCCTCCTCAGAAGGCTCGGGAGGCCTCCAGCCTTTGGAGAAGTTGTCGAAGCCTTCCCCGAAGACGCAATTTTTCTCAGAAGGCGCGAGGGCTTCTGCCAGGCTTCGCCGGCTCTTGAGAAGGCCTGCTCCCTCTCGCTTCCCCCCCGCGTTCGCCGCCAAGACAGGGGGTCACGACGGACCCTGAGATCCTAGCGTCGCCTTCTTTTTCACGCTGAGCGGTTTCGCGCAGTTTCGGGCCCCGAGACCATCACAGATCGATCCGGCTCGAAAGATGCAGCAGATGGGTGGGGTTTGGGGCCCCGGCCGTAATGTTTCGCTGCTGCATTCTTTCTCCACGTCAGACCTCAGGGAATGTCAGAGGCAGGAGAAGTGACACCACCATCAGAGGCGCCAGCTTCAGTCAAGGGAGGAAAAACCACCCAGACCCGACAATTGACGTTTACTGAACGGCCCTGGGTGTTTAGTAAACAGCCCTGCCCTGTTCGATTCCTTCCTTAGGTGCGTTTACTAAACGGCGTCGCTTGTCGGGGTGGTTATCATGGGGGTGGATTTTTTGCGCTCTATTCAGCGCGGGGGTCCACGATGCGTACCAGAGCTGGGAATTGGTGATGTCTCGAGACAGAGGGGGGCCGTTAGGAGGACCCTCCCTGGCGCCTCGTGCTGGTGGTGGTGGTGCCACATTTCCTTTTAGCTAGAGGAAAAGACACGGATCCCCGATGAGATGATCTTGTACCATCCTGGCGGTCGATTTTTCCAATCGGGCTCGTCTGTTCCTGGAGGTTCTCGTCGGTTCTTGGTTTTTTGTTCTCGCCTCGGGATGCTTTTCATCAGCTGCGCCTCGACGACAGCGTTCCCGGCGGGCCAGCTCGGTTTCAGGTTTCCACTATCGGACCCCGGGGCCATCAAAAATCCGCTGGCCCCCTTGTGGGGCCAGCAGGTTGTAGGGCGAAGTTGCTGCTCCCTGCGCCAGTTGCACTTTCAAGTCTCCAATGTTACAGTCCTGTTTTTTGCTTCCTATCTGTAAATTGTTGAAGTCCGCGCGAGGGGGGGGGAGCCCCAAACCGTCCAATTTACCACGCCCTGATCGCGTGCTCTGAATTTCTGGGGGGGGCGTGGGACACGTACAAATACATGAGATTCGCGCCCTCAAGGCCATAATGCCAGCTTGTGATTAACAATTACCGGTTCCCCCCCCGGGGCTGATGAATAGATACTGCGGGGCGCGAAACATTTTTTATCACGCGCGCCAGGGGGGCGTCGCTGGCGCCGCCGAGGGGATCGTGAACCCCCCTGCCCGACAGCATCAAAACGGCTGCCTTTCGTATAGAAGTTGTTATAAGGGGTCGTACGAATGTTTGTCCCCATCTGAGGCGTCGTCGTCGTCTTCTTCGTCGTCTTTGTTGTCGTCATCTTCGTCGTCGTCGTCGTCAACTACAGCAGGCCTGCGCAGCCCCCCCCCCATATGGCATCCGTAGTGCGCCGTCGTCGCCGCCGCCGTCGCCGTCAGATGTCCGCCGTCTGTCGTCCTCGTCGTCGTCGTCGTCGTCGTCGTCGTCGTCGTCGTTGTCGTCGTCGTTGTCGTCGACGACTACAGAGACCACGACAGACGGGGGGAGGAGGACTGCCCGCCTTGCTCGGGTCGGACGAAAGGCTGGGGAAGGAAAGGGGGGGGTGCGAAAGCTGCGTGCAGCTGGTTTCGGTCGCCCCGCCGAGGGGCCAGTCCTCGATGCATGGCCGCTTTCGGCGCCAGGGGGCATTCGGAAGTCGGCAATGTGAGCTGGTGGGCACATCCCTTCTTGGCCACGCCCCCCTTTCGTTCAGCCCGCCTTGTTCGCGGGCCCGCGAGGCAGCTGGCGCCCCCCTGGCTGCGGCCAGGGCAAAGAAGACGCATCGCTTCGCCAGAGAAGAGCACGGAAAGTGCGGGGGAGAGCGCCGACAGCTTGTTTTCTTCATTTCAAACAGGTGTCGCCTTGGCCCACCGTCTCTGCTTCTGCCGCCTTTGCCTCCCGCCCCCCTCCCCTCCCCTAGTCAGTGTTGTTTGTCGCTTTATCGTTTGCGGCCATGTGTCGGCGCTAATCACCAGCGCGCCCGCTGATTTTCAATATGCCGGGCGCCGCCCCGCAATTCGCCCTAGCAGGGGAAATATTTGTTTCACGCGCCCCCACCGATGGGTTAATCACAAAGTGGCATTAATCCATCACTGTTCGTAAATAGCCCAAGGTTCGTATCCCCGAGGCGATGGTGAATTCTAGAAGCGTCGCGTATCCCCACCAGTTGCATGCCGCGCCGCTGGCAGTTGGCCTGGAGAGTTCTCAGCCTTCAGCTGTTTGCTGCGCCGCCCCTCTTGGCGCCGTCAGGCCCCCCTGGCCGCCGCCGTCCTGCCGCCGACCACAGCCTGGTTGCGGCTCCCGGGTTTTCGCCCTCAGTTTCTGGCGTCTGTTGGTGTCCGTGCTGGCTTTTTGAGCCTGGTGAGGTGACCCTGGCGTCCCAGTGACTTGCACGTCGACCAGTTCCAGCTTGCATGCTCGCATGTTCCTAGCCTTTGGTCCCCAGGCACTGACTGCCACAGCTTGGCCGTGTTTGCAGCTGCCGCCTTGCAGTGGTGGGGTGCACCTCCACGTGGATTGCTCATGAGTGGTGTAGCCTTCTTGCTCGACCACCTGAGGTTGCCAGTGTTGGCATGCGACACAGGTACGCTGGGCTGCTTGCTCTGCCCCACGCTATGCCGTGCTTTGCTCGGGTGGCTCGTTTACCTCCGGCGCCTGGCGCGACAAGGTACAACTCGTCTGCCTTCCCGGCGGTCTCGCCCGTGGTATGGTTGCACTTCGGCCGCCTGGCACAACTGGCGCCTCTTGCAGCTTTGCCTTTAGTCCCTGGCGTCGCTCCTCGGCGTCCCTCGGCGGCAGCTTCGGCGGCCGTCAGTTCGCGCGC